GAAAGAATCTGTGTTGCTAACAAGAGGGGCGCACAGTCCTAACAAGCAAAATACGAGGGATCACATAGTGAAGAAGTTAACCAGAAACTTGGATACTTTGGTGCTATTATCATTTCAAGTGATGAATTACAAGGATCTCTGAGGACCTTGGGAACAGAATATAAGATCTACACAGAACTACATATGTACAATCAAAATCTGTCGCCCCACCCAATGGAGTACACAGTCATGAGATACACAGTCATGAATATAAGATCAATGGAGTACACAGTCACAAAATCTGTCGCCCCACCCATGAGATACAATTCACACACTCATTTGACAATGTTATTACTAGTAGGCTGGCAATTGTATAGCCAAACAATTTCCATTACACCAGCTGCCTAGGAGTCTCTACTGTCCAACTTTCTCAACTGGTTTAGGACATTAGTTTCTGAGCATCCAATTGAAAGCTGTTATAACCTTCAAACACCTTCAACCTGGATGACTGCATAGAAATTGCACAATATATGGACCACTCTTTTCTGTAGCCTGGCTGAGTAACCTTTCCCTTTGATTTTTCCTTTACCACATGACACTCTGGATAATCAAAATTGGTTTGATTGACAAAACCCAAACAGCTTTAGGGACATCAAATGACCTTGATTACACAAAAAGGTAGTTCAGCTAGAGAAACAACTTCATGGGACATTGTATGAAATCCTACATCAAGCTTACCGTTGACTAAGGTAATGTTTAAGTAGCATTGTTAGTATGATTAGAATCAATAGACCTAGACCTGAGTCTGAATCTTTTCTTCACCAGCATTCTGTGAAGAAACATCATCAGAAGAATGAATAGTTCCACTGCAACTGCCCAACACAGTTACTTCATGACTTTCAGCCTGACTGCCCACCGCAGTTTCTTCAGCAGCACATTGTGCAGAAGAAACATTAGCAGAAGAATGAACAGTTCCACTGCAACTGCTCACCACAGTTACTTCGTGACTTTCTGCCTGACTGGGCTCAGAGTGAACAATCTTCTCATTACAAGAAGCTTTTGCTTCAGCACTGGCATCGGAAGAGTTCAACCTGAAGCCACATGCTTGAGATCCAGGAGAGAGATCAAGTTGACAGTTGGTGTTATTTACAAGAGCAGCATTCAAAGAAGTTTCAACCGAGGAGTCAATTGCAGGTCTAGAAGAAGAAACCTCAGCACCATTATTAACTCCACCAATTGGAGAGGCATCCAAATTTCCCCCCTCCAAAGAAACATTTGAGCCACCAAGCCATTCAACATCAGAAGTTTGCTTTAAAAAAGCTTCAACCGAGGAGTCAATTGCAGGTGTAGAAGAAGAAACTTCAGTACCATTATTAACATCAACTCCATCACACATTGGAGAGGCATCCAAATTTTCTTCCTCCACAGAAAAATTTGAGTTACCAAGATGTTTAACATCAAAAGTTTGCTTTAAAGAAGTTTCACCTGAGGAGTCAATTGCAGGTCTAGAAGAAGAAACTTCAGCACCATGATTATCATTAACTCCATCACCAATTGGAGAGGCATCCAAATTTCCCTCCCCCACAGAAACATTTAAGTCACCAAGATGTTTAGCATCAGAAGTTTGCTTTAAAGCCACAACATGTAGCCCATTCTGCAAATCAGGTCCACTTGTAGTGTCTGAGAAGAAATTTATGGCAGGCTTTGCACTTGCACAAGTTGCAGATACACACACTGAAACTTTTGTCTTGTCTATTTCTTCTACTTCACTTTGTGCAGCAGGTTCTAGAAAACAACTATCTGTGGTATCTGCCGATAAACTTTTCCCATTGGCATCAATGGGGGTAGTATCTGAAACCACCTCATTCTGTTTCTCTGCATTCATGTTTCTGGCAGAAGCTTCATCTGATGAATCAATACCAAATATCAAACAAGTGGTTTGGTCATTTTCCTTGCAAATTTTTTGATGGATTGTCTCAGATGACTGGGCATCAACTTCAGAGGAAGGACCCAATGCAGCATCTCCCAGATCAGTGTTTCCAATACTTGCACCGGAAGGAGACGAGGGAATCGATTTTGTGGTTGGTTCAGCGAGCTTCTTCTCCATATTAGATTTGACAGATTTATCCTCCTGACTGGAGATTTGAATATGAGATCCACTATGAGTACTTTCTTCTCTAACCATGGCACTATCACTTAAATCGACAGCAGTAGCTGGAGAATCAGAATCTATTGCATCAATGTCATCAACCTTTTCTATACAGGCTTCATCGCGCAAGTTTCCATCGCACCTAGTAAGGGATTCCTGATCAGCCTTTTCAACCAAAGCAGGCAACTGAGGAACACTATGTTTCGAGTCACCAGCATTTTTACCACCTACAGAAAAATCCAGACATCCAAATCACAAGAACGGGCAGTAAAGATTAAGGTATCAGCTTATTTTCCTAATAAGGCAGGCAAAATGGAAAAAAAAAACAAAGTAAAAGCAGGAATTTAATAGTTATAGTACCCTCTAGGGTTTCTCTGTTTAGTAGCCTCTTTTGAAGCATATCTGTCCCAGGGAACACCAACATATTAATGGACTTCATTTCTAGCTTCTCTGATTCCTCAAGTGGATTAAATCCAAAAACTACCGTCCAAGTATGCATATGCTCAGATATAGCAGGAATAATCAACTTCTCGACTTTTAGAGTGGAGAGGACCTGGAAAGAGGAGACAATTAAATCGTTGGATCTGCACTCCAGTATTGAAGAATAAAATACAAAGAACATAATGGACATACAATGACATAATCCCTGACTAACTGGAAGCAGATGCATGAGATAGCTGGAAAAGGTATGACATGCATATTACCATCTGGAAAAATCACTTATACTGGTAGCAAGCCTAAAAAATTTCAAGTCATAAGATGTCCACATGCTAGGTACAAATATGCCCATTACTAGGAAATGAGAGCAGCAACAGGAATGAACAGAATTTCAATTTGGATGATGCCAGGTCTTGTCTCTGCTTTCTTTCGTTAACAATACAACTATGCAATACTACTTATGATGCCTCTTTTGAGACTAACTTTGTACTTTTTATATAACCGTGTGTCCACGCTAACTTGCACGCACCTCGACTAATTCCACGGGATACCTGCCACCTCCCTCCAGCAATAGGTAGCAACAGGTACCAGGTAACTCTATCCACCAAAGCTTGGACAGATGGGAAGAAATCACCTAGTATTTTTTGCCTCAGCTGCGATTTAAACCTGAGACCTCATGGTTCTCACCCACTTCATTTACCACTAGGCCACACCCTTGGATGCGACTAACTCTTGAAAGTTTAAAAGACATTCTTATGTATCCAAATGTCAATTCTATAAATAAATTGTATTACACTGTTTCCAGAGCATCTGGTGTCACAATATTTCCTAAAGCATCCTACATTTTCCCACAACCATTTGCTTTGTCATGTTTCTTACATATACATTAAGTGACTGCTATTGTAGCTCTTTGATGCGGTTTCTGCCACTTTAACAAAGTGCTATATTAAATTATTTATCTGCTACTTCTGAAGACCAGAACAGCAATGGAAAAGCATTGGGATGCCCTCCGTTCCAATGAATTCTTTTGCATGAACAGAATGATGACTCTCAATAACTCATTATAAATTGCAATAGCAATATATGCACATGACGTATGTGAGATATCTCAATGATTTCTTATGTACATAAACCCATCTTCAAAACAATTAGATGAAATAAAGTGTGGAGCCAACAAAGACAACCAGTAATAATTATTCTCATACCGTCTCAATAGCAGACAGCAGCCGGCGGCACATCCCTTGGCGCCTATATATATTCCTGGTCCCAATGTATGGCATTTCTGCAAGTTGAGTTCCATGGATCCTAACAGTTTACCGCCAAAACAATTTTATTGATTGGTAAGGCATGAAGGAACAAACATGAGAAAAAGACGACTAACAAGGAAAAAGGAAAGCAAGAAATTATCTATCAGGCTGATTAATTCGAGAGAATGATGGGTAGAGAAGCTCCTTTAATAATAAGATCAAATGCTTCAGAAAGTTCCTGTGCGTTACATGATTAAAAGGTACAACATGGAAAAATAATGTAATGTAACAATGATGCAAGGATTAGTAATGCAGGTATTGATAACGCAGAGATTAGTAATGCAGGGATTACACTGCAATGGTTATTTCTTGTTGGATGTTGGTTTGTTGTGTTAAAGAAATATGAGTCTGAAGAGATGAGGGTGCTGATGTTCTAGATGTTCTACCAGAAACAGCATCTCTGCCTTCTTAAAGGCAAGGGTAAGGTCCGCATACACTCTACCCTCCCCAAACCCCACGTGTGGGACTACACTGGGTATGTTGTTGTTGTTGAGTCTAACGAGATGAGGGTATCTTTATCATTTCAGTAGTTTTAATCAATATTGTTAACCCGTATTCTTATTCCATATTTTACCCTGCATAAAATAATACATAGATTCCCGCATAACTTATGTGTATATTATTATTAGCCCGTTTGGCCAAGCTGCAAAAATCAGCTTATTTTGAGAAGTGTTTTTTTTCAAAAGTGTTTTTTTTCAAAAGTGTTTTTCTCAAAAGTACTTTTGGTGAGAAGCAGTTTGTGTTTGGCTGATTAGTTGGAAAAGCACTTCTGAGCAGCAATTAGTGTTTGGCCAAGCTTTAAAAAAACTGCTTCTAAGTATATTTTTCTCAAAAGTGCTTCTCAAAAAAGTGCTTTTGGAAAGAAGCTACTTTTTTCTGCTTCTCCAAAATTGTTTTTGCTTCTCCTCAAAAGCACTTTTTTTCCTTCCAAAAGCTTGGCCAAACACCTCAATTTTTTGCCAAAAGTGCTTTTGGCCACACAAAAAAAGCACTTTTGGCCAAACAGGCTATATGTATAAGAAGAGGCAAAATTAGAACCAAACTAAGTATAAGTTATACTGAATCTAATGAAGAGAATAATTCTCCTTATTCAAGCGACCAAACAAAATGCAAGTTATGTTGAATTTAGTTAGCGGAACAACAAAAGTGGCTCCTAATAGCTACAAAAAAAAATATATTTCAACTATGACCTTTAAAAAACAAGGGATGATAGTATTTACGGAATAAGTAGAATCAGTTCCAAATTTTTTTCCCCTCCCAATTTAGGAGGATCTATAGTGTTTCCATACTTCCCCTCCAGGTGACTCGAACTCAGGACCTAATGGTCGTGGATGGAGGTGCTTTACCAACTGAGCAAGCCTCACTTGTCAGTTCCAAAAATTAGCCGTCCAAAAAATATTTGCCAAAAGATGGAGGAGAGAAACATATGTCACGAAATTACTACTGCGAGTACAAGTAACTTGGAGCAGTAGCTGACATTGAGATACACTCGGTTAAATGCTTGCAAAAATGATAGTCCACTACTGCAATGAATTCAAAGACTAATCGATGACACACAATTACGTTTTGCTAAAGATCATAAATCCCTAATGCAAGGAACACAATTGCAATTTCTGAGACAGCTGAGAGAGTTCAACTGTTAAACAACATATCAACATTCATGCACCCAACTCTTATCAATATCTGAAAAGTAAACTTGCATTGTAACATGGGAACAACTTGAGCATCCAGTATACCTTATGGATGCAGCAGATATTATTTCATCGCCCCTTTCCAAGATTGCAGTGTAGAAGCCACGAAAATTCAGCCGGCTAAAGTTTGAGCTTCAGTGGAGAGAAAAACAGTGTCAGATACTGCTGAATAATACAACGAAGTTTATAGAAAAGGATAACCGGGTAAAAGATGAATCTAGGAACACGCAAGCACATAGTTCCGCAAAATAATAAAGCAAATAGGGAAAACTGTTTTCAGACAGCACAAAAGAAACATCGTCTGGCTTAATTGAAAATTCGGTTTTCCATTTCCAGACAAAAGAAGAGGGATGATCCAATAAAATCAATACATTATTGCCCTCAGTGATAGCCGTTCTTTGTGATTCAGAAACGCAATCCACAAAAGAAAAGTTAATATTTTTTCTAACAGGCAACTATATAATAAGGAATCACGAATAAATGAAGAAGGAATAGCCACATCCCCACGATTATGGCTTTTAACTTCATAGTGCCATTTTAGGTTTCTCTGGTGACAGAAAAAAGGCATGGGAATAATCTATTTCTAACTAGGCTTCTAAGAAGAGAATCACTGTGTTTCAGGGAAGAGTCGAGGAAGATAAAGAGTGAAATCATGTGCTAAAGAGTCCTGGCAAATTATGGACATAAACAAGGACTGCTGGGAAAAGCAAATTCAACAATTTTCTACTATGTCTATGAGCATTACCAGAAAAAAAAATGTAAAATCATAAACATTGTACTCCCTCCCCCCTCAAACTAAATGTCATGCTCCATCTTTGGTAATCAGTCAGACAAGCTGAGTAATAGCCTGTTTAGCCAAGTTTCACTAGAAGTGTTTTTTCTTAAAGTTTTATCTGGGACAAAAAATTGTTTTGAGTAGCAGGCTAGCAGCAGAAGTAGTTTTTGCTGAGTAAGAAGTTGAAAAAGGTAGCTTCTAAGCAGAAGCAGAAGTTTTTTTATTTTTCCAGCACAAGTATATTCTTACTAAGTGGGTCCGCAAACAGTTGGGAACGTTGAAACTCTGATACAGAAATAAAAATTAAAAATTCTTTTCCCAAATTGGAATCCTTAAAATAAGTCTGTAGGGTCATATAAATCCATTTATTTATTCAACTGTTGGAATAGTTATGTGAATGAATGTAATTAGTCCTAGTCCCTTATGTAATAGGAGTAGGTTATGTGTTATGTATACAATAAATAGGGTTTATTGTAACATAGAATTTTAATCATTAATAATATTTTCTCTCGTGCTTTCTCACATGGTATCAGAACTTTGGTGAGAATAGATCGTTGTGCGTCATTCCAGCGACACCGGGGAAAAAAGAACTCGGTCACCGTGAGATTTTCCGGTGACCTAAGTGACTATTTGCGTCAAAGTCACTAATTATCAGTGTTGTGCGAAATCCAACACCACCAAAAGGTTCCCAAGAGATAAGCGACCAAACCCCAAAAAAAAACCACCTGAAAACACTCACCCACGCACCCCCACGCGCCTGTCGGAGTTCTGCCTCCGCCAGCGCGTCTGTCCCACGCGCCGGCGTGTGAGGGCTGTTCCGGCCAGAATTTGAAAAAGTTTCTTTTGGACAGTGTAATCGTCTTGCAATTCCAAGCCTACCCATCCAATTTAAACCTAATTCTGACAACTTTTATATTTTTTTCGGTGTGAACAATGATTTCCAGCGTGAACAGTGATTTCCAGAAAATTTTCTAATTTTTCTGGCGTTAATAGTAATTTCCAAAAGGGTTTCTGATTTTTTCCGGCATGAACATTATAATGTCAATCTTATTAGAAGCCTTAGACACACATTCCGTTAGATCGAATGCATTGAATCCAATCCAGATGGTTTCTTTACCGGATTATATTGAGTTCCTTCCGTACAAAGCACGTAAACAGACATCTTCAGCATTAGCCTCCGTTGTTCCAACAAATAGTAGCATGACTTGTGTCTCCCAATCTTCACCTTCTGAGTCTTGGGCCATTGATTCAGGTGCATCTGATCATATTTCTGGTAACAAATCTCTTTTCACTAGTATTTCATATTCTCAATCTCTTCCAACAGTCACAATGGCCAATGGGTCTCAAACCATGGCAACAGCAATAGGTCAAGCAAGCCCACTTCCTTCCTTACCTTTAGACTCAGTTCTTTACGTTCCCAGTAGTCCTTTTAATCTCGTAGCCATTAGTCGCTTAGCCAAATCACTTAAATCTACTGTTTTATTTCTTGATGACCTTGTTTTTATACAGGAATGTAGTACAAGGCGGATCATTGGTACCGGACGTCAATCAGATGGACTTTATTACCTTATCCTTGCAAAATCACATGGACTCGTATCTTGTCTTCCTTTAATAACTCGTCTCATTACTGATTCACCAGATTTATTACATAAACGGTTGGGACATCCCAGTTTGTCAAAACTTCAGAAAATGGTACCTAGCTTATCTCACTTGTCCACTCTAGAGTGTGAGTCATGTCAGCTCGGTAAGCATACTTGCTCCCATTTCCAGCGGCGTCTTGATAATCGAGCAGAGTCACCTTTTACTTTAGTCCACTCAGATGTTTGGGGTCCTAGTCGGGTCAGTTCTACCTTGGAATTCCGCTACTTTGTCAGTTTCATTGATGATTATTCAAGGTGCACTTGGATATTTTTGATGAAAAATCGATCGGATTTGTTTTCTATTTTCCAGACCTTCCATGCTGGAATTCAAAATCAATTTGGGGTTTCTATCTGCACATTTCGTAGTGATAATGCCCTAGAGTATTTGTCTTCCCCGTTTCAGCAGTTTATGAACTCCCATGGGATTATTCATCAAACATCTTGTCCGTACACATCCCAACAAAATGGAGTAGCTGAAAGAAAGAATAGACATCTTATTGAAACTGCTCGTACCCTTCTCATACGATCTCATGGTTCGCTGCGTTTTTGGGGATGCAGTCTTACATCTTGCTATCTTATTAATCGTATGCCATCTTCAGCTATCCAGAATCAAGTTCCATTCTCTGTCCTGTTTCCCCACTTACCTTTGTTCTCTCTTCCACCTCGTGTCTTTGGGAGTACGTGTTTTGTTCATGTCCTTACTCCAGGAAAAGATAAGTTAGCTCCTCGTGCTCTTAAGTGCATATTTCTGGGTTACTCGAGAACGCAAAAAGGATATCGATGTTATTCTCCTAACCTCCAGCGGTTTCTTATGTCGGCTGATGTTACCTTCTTTGAAACCCAACCATACTTCACAGGTCCAGTGAATCACTTAGATATTTCTGAGGTGCTACCAGTTCCGTCTTTTGGAGATTCAGTCACTATTCCCCATTCATCTTACTCCACAGCTCCACCACCTATGGCTTCAGTACCACCACCGAGTCCAATTCCACCAACTATAGCTCCGGTGCCACCACCCAGTCCAGTTTAACCTTCTACAGCTCCACCACTCCTGACTTATCATCGTCGTCCGCGTCCAGCATCAGGCCCAGCTAATTCACATCCTGCACCTGGCCCTGCTAATACTGCGGACTTGTCTCCTCTTGATCAACCGATTGCACTACGAAAAGATATACGGTCCACACTTAATCTTAATCCTCATTATGTCGGTTTAAGTTACCATTGTCTGTCATCATCCCATTGTGCATTTGTGTCCATCTTTGTCCTCTGTTTCCATCCCTAAGTCTACAAGTGAAGCACTGTCTCATCCCGGGTGGCGACAGACTATGATTGACGAGATGTCTGCTTTACATACGAGTGGTACGTGGGAGCTTGTTCCTCTTCCTTCGGGTAAATCGACTGTCGGTTGTCGTTGGGTGTATGCAGTCAAAGTTGGTCTAGATGGCCAGGTTGATTGACTTAAGGCTCGTTTTGTTGCCAAAGGGTATACTCAGGTATTTGGACTAGATTACAATGATACTTTCTCTCCTGTGGCTAAAATAGCATCAGTCCGCCTTTTTCTATCCATGGTGGTTGTTCGCCATTGGCCTCTTTATCAATTGGACATTAAGAATGCTTTTCTTCACGGTGACCTTGAGGATGAGGTTTACATGGAGCAACCACCTGGTTTTATTGCTCAGGGGGAGTCTAGTGGCCTTGTATGTCGGTTGCGCCGGTCTCTCTATGGTCTAAAGCAGTCTCCTCGAGCCTGGTTTGGTAAGTTCAGCACAGTTATTCAGGAGTTTGGCATGACTCGTAGTTAAGCTGATCACTCTGTATTTTATCGACATTCTGCTTCAAATCTCTGTATTTATCTGGTCGTTTATGTTGACGATATTGTTATTACCGGCAATGATCAAGATGGTATTAGTAAGTTGAAACAACATCTATTTCAGCACTTTCAGACTAAGGATCTGGGCAGATTAAAGTATTTTCTGGGTATTGAGGTCGCTCAGTCTAGCTCAGTTATTGTGATCTCATAACGAAAGTATACCTTAGATATTCTTGAGGAGACAGGAATGACAGGTTGTAGACCTGTTGCCACTCCGATGGATCCAAATTCTAAACTTTTGCCAGGACAGGGGGACCCTCTTAGCGATCCTGCAAGATATAGGGGGATGGTTGGTAAATTAAATTACCTCACAGTGACTAGACCTGATATTTCCTTTCCTGTGAGTGTTGTGAGTCAGTTTATGGATTCTCCCTGTGATAGTCATTGGGATGCAGTTATCCGCATTCTTCGGTATATAAAATCAGCTCCAGGCAAAGGCTTATTGTTTGAGGATCGAGGCCATGAGCAGATTGTTAGATACTCAGATGCCGATTGGGCAGGATCACCTTTTGATAGACGTTCTACGTCTGGATATTGTGTCTTAGTAGGAGGAAATTTGGTGTCTTGAAAGAGCAAAAAACAGAATGTGGTTGCTCGGTCTAGTGCAGAAGCAGAATATCAAGCAATGGTAATGGCGACATGTGAGCTAATTTGGATCAAACAGTTGCTCAACGAGTTGAAATTTGGTGAGATTAGTCAGATTGGACTTATGTGTGATAATCAAGCTGCTCTTCATATTGCGTCAAATCCAGTGTTCCATGAGAGAACTAAATACATTGAGATTGACTGTCACTTCGTTAGAGAAAAGATACTCTCGAGAGATATTGCTACAAAGTTTGTGAAGTCGAATGATCAGCTTGCAGATATTTTCACCAAGTCCCTCACTGGTACTCGTATTAACTACATATGTAACAAGCTCGGTACATATGATTTATATGCACCAGCTTGAGGGGGAGTGTCAGAATAGTTATGTGAATGCATGTAATTAGTCCTAGTCCCTTGTGTAATAGGAGTAGGTTATGTGTTATGTATACATAGGGCTTATTGAAACATAGAATTTTAATCATCAATAATATTTTCTCCCATGCTTTCTCACATCAACAATAAGCCAATCCCCCCCCCNTAGCAAATCACCTAAAGATTCTACCTCCTCTACATAGTTTTAAATACTATATTTTAGTTAAATGAAATTAAAAATACTTGATTAAACTCTCTCGCAACAAATATTTCAAATCCTCTCAATTCAAGCCTATTTCATTTCAGTACTAAAAATTGGTTTTTTAAATCAAGTAAGGAATTTGCTAAGACTATACATTCTTACATAAAAAATTTATTGTTATATGGGCATTCAAGTCATTAATTAGAATCAAAGTCCTGACAAGCATTGGACCTAACATAAGTGTAACTGTAACAACAACTAAACCTTACTACCAATTAGCTTGTAGTGCATATATGGATCCAATGCTTCCAGTGTGTTTTCTATAAGCTAAATCCATATTCATGTTGAGAGATTTTAAATCATTTAGGAATTTTCTCTCTATGAGATTTTAAATCTACCTTGTTCCCTTTTATCACATTCCATCACCTTATTTTTCATACATATGAATCTCTGCATCTAGAGGATATGAATAGTGTATCTCAAGCGACCACCTCACATTTTATGTTCTATGTATTAGTAGCATCCTCTATGGGATGTGATCATTTCTACATCCATCTTCACATTCGTATTTCTACGACATTAGTCATTAATACCAAATGGCCATATTAAATTATTCAGCCAGCTTAATGAAGTTACAAAAAAAATAACGAGGGCCTTCAGATATTAAATTGGATATTTAGCACAACATTTACAAACTCACGACAACACATAGAAGGTAAAAAGCTTCTTACCCGCAGTTGTAGAGAACATTATGAATAATATTGATGCCACTTTTCCTATCCACAATCGGCAAAAAACATTCATCCATAACAGCCAGTGCAACAGCTAGCTTAGAATTGCACTCCACCCGTTGAGAAAAGGCATGGTGAGAACGATCAGAGTCTAAATCCGTTCGTTGAATCAGGGACCATGAGAATCCAGCTTCAATCTCATGTTTGACACCAAGAATCTTCTGCAGATGATCATACAGCTGCAAAAACAGAGAAGAGAAATGAGTTGAACTATTCAAACACATCTTGTGAGAGATAGCAACACAGACAATCTCAGGTCAACAATAGTTTCACTAATTTTGAGCTTGAAAAAGGTTCAAAGTCTCAAAGAAAATTAGAAATTTCGGGACACAAAATGTTCAAGGTAAACTGCATGCTTCTCAATAAAATAGCAAAAGCCTAACTGAATTTGCTACCAAACTGGTAGTTTTGCAGATCATGCATTTGCATAATGGTAACTATCTGAGAGAAGAAAACTCCAGTTAAAGACTCTTGAGGAACCAGTAAGCAATCAAGGATAAGATACTAAGGGGAAGGGGCTCTAAATTCCTTCGTCTCATCCACACCTCTCCACAGTATTGAACTGTTTGGCCTTTTCACTTTTCAAGCCTCAACAAGCCAATTGCATTACTCTCTCTCCCTCACTCCATCTCTAAGTTCCATATAGCAATTTCAGGTTACTGTTTGGCTTTGATTGTACAGATCGCTACCATTACATTCAGAAATTTATCCTCAAGGTTCAAGTTCAAGATCTACAAGCTACAGAGAAAGGATTTAGCATCATATTTTTGGTAGTTGGTCCAACAGATGCTAACCCATGTAATACATGGTATAAGACAACAACAACAAAACAAAAAAAAATCGTGTAATCTCACGAGTGGGGTCGGGGAAGAGTGGGATGTACGCAGCCTTACCCCAGCTGAAGAAAAGGGCAGAGAGGTTGTTTCTATAGACCCTCGGCTGAAGAAAAGATGAGAAGGAGCAGCGGCGACAAGTAGTAACAACACAAGATATTAAGAAAACCGAGGCAAAGAAAGCAAACAAACAATAAATAGTAATAGCAATCTGAGAATAAAATGAACACAAGATATTAAGAAAGTCGCTGCAAAGATAGCAATCAAACAATGGGTAACAATATCAATCTAAGAATAAAACGAAACCATACTAACACTAATAATACCGGATTAAGAAAGAAAAAAGGACACGCTCGACTATCTACTAACCTTCTATCCTAATCCTCGACACTCACACCCTCCTATCGAGGGTCGTGTCCTCGGTAAGCTCCAGCTTCATCATGTCCTGCATAATCACCTCTCCCCAATACTTATTTGGCCTACCTCTACCCCTCCTCATACCCACCAAGGCCAACCTCTCACACCTCCTAACTAGAGCATCTATACTTCTCCTCTTAACATGCCCAAACCACCCCAATCTCGCATCCCGCATCTTATCCTCCACAGAAGCAACTCCCACCTTATCCTGAATGACTTCATTCCTAATTTTATCCAAACCTGGTATGCCCCGTACATCCATCTCAACATCCTTATTTCAGTAACATTCAACTTTTGGACATGGGAGTTCTTGACTGGTCAACGCTATGGCCCATACAACATAGTCAGTCTAACCACCACTTTGTAGGACTTACCTTTAAGTTTTAGTGGCACATTCTTATCACACAAGACACTGAAAGCGAGCCCCCATTTCATCCATCCTACTCCGATGCGATATGTGACATCCTCAACAATTTCCTATTTTCTTGTATTATAGACCCAAGGTACTTGAAACTTCTTCTCTTGGGGATGACTTGTGTATCAAACCTCACATCCATGTCTGCTTTCTGGGTAACGTCATTGAACTTGACCTCCAAATATTCTGTCTTGGTCGTGCTCAACTTGAAACCTTTAGACTCGAGAGTCGGTCTCCAACCTCCAGCCTCTCGTTAACACCATCTCGCATCTCGTCAATTAGAACTATGTCATCTGTAAATAACATACACCAAAACAACTCCCCTTGAATGTGTCCTGTCAATGCGTCCATCGCCAAGAAAAACAAAAACGGGCTAAGGGTGGATCCCTAGTGCAACTCCATCACAATCGAGAAGTGTTCCGATCTCCCGCTGTCCTCGCCCGGGTCTTAGCTCCATCATACATGTCCTTGATCACTTTAATGTAGGCTACATGCACCCCTTTAGCCTCCAAACATGGTATAAGACAACACCACATTTGCTTTTTACTGCAGTTTCCATTAGCAGATCTGGAACTTGTTCTTGAACCTTATTTCGGTGCAGTGGGCTACACGAAATACAAAGGTGTATTAAAAAGCTAGCAAGAGAAAAGGTTAAAGAAGTCTTCGAAATGGTTTTGGAGCACAGTTCCTGCATGCACTCTATGTCCAACTCTTGGTGTAAAATGGTGAATATATATGATGTTGATCTTCTCAAGGACTTTCATTAACTCCTTCCTTTAATAAAATGAGCAACAGTCCTTTGATTTTCGTACATCGCTGCACTTTCTTAGGTGCTACAAATGAAATATGCATTTTTTAACAAAAACAAGGGATGTAACTTTCTAATCAAGTCTTTTCTTGAGACGGCTCCTAAGATACCAAGTCGCTAATGAACCCCATGAATCATGTGCACCTTATAGAGGAGATGATTGCATAGCTACAGTTTGTCTGTTTGACAAGGCATTGAAGTAGATGGGCTAGGTTCTACTTTCCTGACGTATAGAGCAGAAAGGGTCATCTGCAATCATTTTTAGGATCTTATCAAGGAGAGAATTGAATAACAATATCATGTTGGTATGACAAGGCCAAAAGTAGAAGCTAGTTTTGGTTTCTTTAACTAAACCGGATAAAAGGCGTAAACCCCAAATCATGTGTAGTATCTAGAGGATTCCCCCCCCCCAAACCCTGCATGGTATAGTGTAATCAGCAGTCTAAGTAATAAATTAACAAGCCTAGTGAAGCTAGGCTCTTCACATGTAGAACCACTAAGTGTCCTATCTAGTGCAAATTAGGAACCCAAGGTTTAAATGCCGCCGCAGTGAAAAGGACTTAGATCACTAAATGAAAGAAGTTCATGGATTCAGACTCCTCTAGGAGCGCTCTAATAGGATTACAATCCGCGAATATCAGATTTCAGTAAACAAATATGCATATTACAGTGCTAAAGCCAACTGATTGCAATGAATGTATCATCCACCAGCAAGCTAATGCATGAAAGAAGCTGATAAATCTGATAAATTCAATTTAAAGTGGCAAGAATTAATAACAGGTTCGGTGGTTGGTCGAAAACAACGTCGAGAAGAAATAAAAGAAATGATTAAGATGAAACAAGCTGGTTCTAAGATTCTTCATATTATTTTCAAGGTTGAAGATCAAGCTTTTGCAATTTTTAGCTATGTGTTTTTGCATCATCATTGGCTCGCAGACCTTTTAAAGACAACAGCATTTCTGTTGGATCAGTTTACTAGTCCTTTCAGTTCTTCCTTCACTCTTGCTTGTTGTCCATGCATATAGTTGCAGAGTTGTGGATTCACAGCTTCTTTGCTCTTGCAACAGCAGGTCAAATCATGTCTACATCTAAGTTGCTCGGACTCTTCACTTTCGGTGTCGCACCCGTGTCGACATGATGTGGGTGTGGGATCTGTACTAGATTTGGTCAATCGATTTTGAGTACTTATACAAAATCGACAGAGGAGTCCGAAACAGATACAATGATCTCTCTCACAAAAAAAAAAACTATGGTGGAATCATAATCTAGGCATATTTTTATAAATCTATTTTTAGATATTTGAATTATTTTTAGTTGAACCTCTGCACTCATACCTGTACCTGGATCCGTACCCCTGAATCCTAAAAAATTAGATAATGAAAGATCCGACCTCTAGATCCGCACACGTATCGAACACCCGCACCCAAGTCCGAGCAACTTAGGTCTACACATTCAGCAGACATAAAATTGCTGAAGGAAAAGTTTTGGCTTTTCAACTCAGGTTCTCTGACAAAGAGACTAAAGCGAGACATGCCGAAAATGACCAATTCAATTCTGAAGGTTCTAAAGCTTGGAAGATCATGATTGCAATTTTCAACACATGAATAAGAGTTTGATGCCAAATATCATTTTGTTTGATATGAAGGTAAATGACAGTCTATAACTCCATTAGGATTTGAGACTGGACAACAATTTCAAAATAGTGAATAGTGAAACTTGATAACTCTTTAGTGATTCTTAATATGCTATACATCAGACAGGAAAACTCACAAACAGAATAACAAAAATACCTCTTGGCATTTCTGCCCACAAAATGATACAGATGGATTATTAGAACTAGCTGGTAAAGCATTTATATCCAGACTGCATGATTTGTGATCTGCAAAATGAAGGTTTAATATATCAGCTCAAGCATAGAAGGCGTCAACGACCAAACCTCCAAAAGGCAAACAGTTTTACATTTTTTCTCACACAGGCTGCAGTAGAGGAGCATATCTGCAGCTGCCTGACCTTCCTCTGCAGTAGTATTGGCAGTCCCACAAAATTTGCATGTGCAATTTGGACAGTGCCAATCCCCTGGAGGAAGCATCTGTAGAAAAGAGAAGCATGTAAACGTGATGCTTATAAAGAGTAAATAGTAATATAAAGTAACAGAAAATGTTCAAAACCCCAGTCTATACATGTTGCATCTTTCGGAGATGCCTGGATAGAGGTACGATGCTCTAAGAAGGAAATATCCTAATTATTGTTCATTTACATATTACACAATCAATTCTAGTGACAAAAATTGATCAAAATCCCAGTCTACACATGTTGCTTTTGGAGATGCCTAATAGAGGTATGACGTTCTAAGAAAGAAATCCTAACTAATGTTCATTTCCCTATTACACAATCAATTCTAGTGATAGTTATGCACTTATCTTTCTTTCCAACCATTTGATGATACAAACAACAAACCAAAACAGTCTTGAAGATGGAACGGAAGAGGACATAGTTAATTTTTTGAACGGTTTACTGATTGTTTCACTATAAGGATAACAAGATCACAGTCACAAAAAATGGACTAGATTACATAACTGCAGTTGATTGACCTCTGTCACATGGCTCCTTTTCATTTTTCTCCCTTATGGTTGCATTCATGCATGAGATTTAGTAGCAAGTGTATTCGATTATTCCAAATAATGAACTAGAACATGGAGCTCAAAGAGAGTTTGTTGACCAAGATGGTGATAATGTAAACGTAGAAGGGCATGACTGCTCCTAAGAAACAAGAAGAAGAAAGGGGGCAGATTCATAGAAAATACTAAAGTACATAGACCTGCTCACAAAGAGCTAGAAGACAGCCAAAACCATTGCTGCTAATAAGTAGAAGACTTTCATCATTATTAAAAATTCTTACAGGTGTCTTTTTCTTTTTGAACTAGGAGCCACAGCCATTTCTTTTCTTCTTCTTTTTTTTCACCTCAACTGGATTGAACTTTTTTCTTTCCCTTTTTAACCTGTTCTTTATGTTCAGCTTTTGTGAATACATCATGGACATGTTAATGATAGGGGAAACCATTCATTAAAGATTCAGTAGAAGTGGAAACTACACATATCTTTTATGTCAGTTTTCTTATCAGGTAAGATAACAACAGATATCTTTTATGTCAGTTGTAAAGAGTTGCAAGATGATCGCAGAGTACACTGTTTCCTCCACTTCTGTAACCTGGTTCTTCATACAGTTCTAATTATCTTAGGACTATGGTGGTATGTCCAATGAAAAGGTTAGTAGCAGACTATGATTTTGACCCGCCCCACACCTTACCACCGTTATTTTCTGTTCCTCCTTCATCTCCTCAGTGGTTATAAGAATCTAAAAAATTTTCTGACGATAAAGGGCACTGATAACATTCTCACGCATGTAAAACACTAAATTCATACATTTAAATGTCAGGAAGACGTCCAAAAACCAAGTAGTATCAAAGGAAAATAAAAGACAGGAATAAATTTCACATTTGCTACCACAACACAAAAAAGAATAACAGTGCAGGAATGGACAGTACTGATTTAGAAGGAAAAACATGAGAACACTGAGAAAAAAGAGAATATTTTACATACTTGTATACCCAGACAGCTCTGATGAAAAGTGGAAGGGCAACCGTCACAACAGATAAGGTCCCCACCATCACCACATATACCACAAGTGTCATCATCAGGATCATCACCATCAACATTTACAGTATGGAAATCTTGGCGTTCAGATTCTTCTTGCCGATTCCATGCATCAACCAAGCACTCCAGCAAGGAAACGCCAGACTCCAATATTATGTTTTGAAATGGTTGACGCAACGTACTTCCTGCATGGAGCTCAAATTTTGAAACTGGAAGGATTTTACTACAGCAACCACAGTGCACGCCATCTCGTGTGATCCAACCTTCTAGCTTTACTCTGGTCCTCCTACGATTCATATATTGAACCTTCTGACTTAACTTCGCTGTGCCAGAGTCAATCATCCAGGCCAATAAGGTTCTTTTTCCAGTATAAGGAACATAGCCATCATCTTCAGAATCTTGCTCCTTATCAGACCTGCGGACCAACAATGTACATCGCCCAATTATCCTACTTTTTCTTCCCTGTACTGTACTGGAAGCAGCTCCAGTAAATGATTTTCCAGACATATCCTGCTTAGATCTTCCTCCCTTTGATGAATTTCCACTTGTATCACCATCACTCTCCTGATCTGTTGCATGAGACTTGCATTTCAGTAACTTACCTTTCTTCTTTACATAACTACTTAGCCTCTCTTCATGCTGATCACCATCTGTGTCCTCTGCAGACTCTTGCATAGCAGACTTTTTGTAAACTCGGTTCTTGGCATCATCTTTCCTTTTCTTCTTCAGTTCTTTCTCAATCTTCTTCCGTGTTTGCCTGGTTAGCTTATTGATTAACTCATCAGACAATGGAGCAAATGAACTAGAGCCACCATCAATTTTACTTTTGCATGAATCTTCCCCTGACTGTTTTTGCAGTGCATCATAAGCCTTAATTATTGACCAGTATGCTGTTCCACTAGGATTAATGTACACTGCATCTAAGTAATCTCTGTTCCTTCTCGGTCTGTAATCAATGGTCCATCCAGCTTCAATAAGCATTCCTCTTATTTTCTCTCGCAGCTGCTGCTTCTCTGTACTCCCACCTCGTTTCAAGTTTCCTCCTTTACTTTTGGCAGGGGTAACATCTTCAGCTGCTACGGACCTGCTTTCTTCCTTAATGACCCTGGCCTTTGAGCAAGCAGGCTGAAGCTGCTGCTTCTCCATGCTCCCACGTTGTTTCAATTTTCCTTCTTTGCTTTTAGCAGGGGTAACATCTTCAGCTGCTGCTGACCTGCTTTCTTCCTTAACCGCCCTCATCTTTGAGCTAGCAGGCTGCGAACTAGGTGGTGCCAACTTAAGTGATGTATCAGTCTCATCTGTTTCACAGTCTACAGACTTAATGCATTTTGCCAAGAAAGGTTTTTGTGATTTCAGCTCAGCCCGCTCTGTTTTAACAGACAATGGTCGTTTTTCAGGGCGTTTAGAATCCGAGTGCAAAGAAGCTCGGCCTAGCAAATCTTTCTTGACAACATCTTCGGACCTGGAACCTTTCCTACTTTCAAGATCATAATCCTTGTGTGATCGGTCTACATTCTTCTTCTTATTCACCATTACCTTCAACACTCCATTTTTCCCCTGCAATCTGATTGGTTCTTGAGACGATTCCTGGTACTTCAACCTAAGCAATGAAATGGGCATATGTGCTTCATCCTCATCTAAATCGTACCTTTTCTTAACACCACACTCATCGCCCTTAGCTCTACTACCCGACAAGCTACTCGAACTCTCAATATTCGAATGCTTCCTCTTCTCAACCATCATACTCCTACTACTAGAACCATTTACAAACTCCCTAGAACTCCCACCAGTTCTTGCAACATTCCATTTCATTTCCTCATCGAATTCATCGTACTCATCGAAATCAAACAAATCTAACCTACTTCTCTTCTTCTCACTCTCAATCTTCCCATTCCTACCAGGCTCTCTACTTTCCCCACCACTTTTTACACTACCATTATGAAATTTCTCTCCACCCCTTCTCCTAATTGGCTCCAATAACTCTTCATCACTCGACTCGGAATCACTCTGAACCAACCTTTGCCTCTTCTTCACCTTCTGTGAAGCCCTTGAAGAACCCGCACCCACACCCCCTCCTCCACACCCTATACCCATTCTCTCATCTTTCTTCTTAATTATCAAACACCCAGATGAGCTTTTCTTCTTCACTATATCCCCTGATCTCGCACTACCCCCCTCCATACTCACTCAATCCTTAATTCATAAAGGAAAAAAATAGCAAAATTGACCCCAAAAGGTCTCGAGAAAAGCTCTCTTTAATCCAAATCTTCGTTCAGTTATCCAACATTACCAGATCTGAAACAGAAAAAAGCATAATTTTTTCCGATTAGAAACAATATTTGGGGGAAACTTTTTATGTTCAGTTAGTGAATTGATTTGCATGAGAAGAATCGGCGGCGAATTTTACCTTGCCGGAACGGAATCGGCGTCGAAGAAACAGTGTTGATCCGATCAGTGACGTAATTCTCCGGCGAAGTAAGCGAATCGCCCAAGAAAGAGAGACAGAAGCAAAGAGGGGAATTGTATTGGTTCTGGGCATACTTGTTGTATAAATATACAATATGAACAGACGCCAGCTTCTTCTTTTTTTCTTTTTAGTTTTTACAATATTTTAGAACCCAATATAAAACCAAAAACCCCAAAAAATGAACAGAAATTTGGCGTTAGTTCTGTACAATATACTTTAGGTTTTTCTTTAACTATAGCGATGGACTAATTCATTTCGTAGTTGTTATTTTTTCAGAATATATATAAGAAGTAATTTTACAAAAGAGAGTCATAGTTTATTCAAAACTGTAATGAATTAGGATGTATGATCTTTGCTTGGACATCTCTAAGTCTGTAACTTTTTTCATTAAGAATTCATGTAACATGTTAGAATTCTGCTTTTAATTCACAAATAAATGTCTTCAACTGAATATTGCTATTTTTAATTTAATTTATCAGAAAAGAAAAGTAAATGTTCATTAGCTGGAATACTGAGACAGTTATTGCCTTACCCCCCCCCCCCCCCCCCCCCCCCC